AATTTGTAATAAAATAAGACCTAAATTGATTATGTTACGGAAAATACTAACCATTAATTATATAAATCCATAAAATATTAAATTAAAATTAATGATATAAATCTATAAAATATTGAATTGAAATCATAAATAAAAGAAAAACAACATGCATCACTAAAGAGAGCCGTAAATGGCTGCCACAAACCACGTTTAGGGTTTAGGGTTTTTCATCATCTTCGTGTTTCCACTTTCGTTTCCAAAATGTTAGGGTTTTTCTGATTTTCGAATTTCACTTTTCAATCTTAGATTTTGATTTCTACATCACCTGAAACCATGAAAATAAAACCATTCACTTTGTTTTTGAAAACAAATCAATTGGAAACAGTGGATTGAAATCCGAAAATGGGATATGAAAATAGCATTAGAAAACTTTAAAAAGGAAAACAATGATTAATCAAAAACAGAAAAACATAGCCAACAAACATGAAACGGATATAAACGACGATAGATTGAAGGAAGGGAGCGTAACATACCGTAGCAGAGGAAGATTGAAGGAATGAAGAGGAAGAAACTCTAGTAAAAGGAAGGGAGCGTAACATACCGTAGCAGAGGAAGATTGAAGAAAAGAAGAGGGAGAAACTCTAGAAGAGAAATTAGAATGAGACTTTTAATTAGAGATAACTAGAGGAATTTGATGGTATTCAACTTTATTATATTTATAGTAGATTATAGATAAACTGAATGAGTCTTTTATTGACTTGGTTTTTGTTCCTTAACCGCCATCAACTTCCATTAGAAAATCTTATGGAAACTTTAACACGTATAACTCCTCTTGGCATAGTGATTTTGTATCAGTAATTTTCAAGAATTTTGAAGAGTGTTTGCGGGTGAGTCATCATACAGAGAAAATTGTTTAATTTAGTTATTCGTTATAGTTTGTGGAAAATGTACTTAGATGTATGTATATATTTTAATCGGTGACTTGTTTTGTTAAGTTATATTTATATTATCATTCTGGTGAAGATTTTTTGTGTATTATAGGTTTTCCCAATTTAGAATTCATGCGTAGAAAATATTGTTGTTAGATTTCAAATTATTTTATTAAATTGTTGAAATTGTTGAAAATTCATTAAATATCTATGATGAATTTCTATTAATCTTGATGAACAAGATTGATATCACCACACAATGACAATGAATTATGAGAAAAGAAAATAAAGAAGACAATTATTTTCTGTAGAATTTCTCTCTACCCACAAACTGTGGAAAACTTTATTAATCACTTGCAACTGTAAATTATGTGATTACAATAAATTAAAATTATGTATTACTCCCTCTATTTATAGATTTAGGTTACCTTGCTCCCTAAGGCAAAACCCAAAACTATAAAAGCGCAAAATACCTATTTTGGTACTAAATCAAATCTATCTATTTTAGATCTAAATCAAATCTATCTAAATCTAAAACAAATCAAATCTGTGTGTAGTATTTTCGACACACCTATTTCGACACTACCTTGTCTCTGTCGAGCAAACTGCTTCGACACAAGGAATTACTTTCAACACACCGCCTAATTCATTGTGTTTAAGCTATCAACATTCATCATGGTTCTTAGTCTTCGAAATACTTCGACCTGCACACCCTTCGTCATGATGTATGCAATTTGATTCTCAGTTCTGCAGTGTTCCAAATTCATCTTCACATCTGCTACTTGCTCTCGAAGATAGTGGAACCTCATTTCGATGTGCTTGCTTAGACCATGTGCTATCGGGTTCTTCGCCAGATTGATAGCTAACATGTTGTCGATCTTCATGGTAATTGCTCCATGATCTTCCTCTGTTATCTCTTCGACCAAGTTCACCATCCAAGTTGCTTGACATGCACAAAGAGAAACAACTATGTATTCTGCTTCGCATGATGATAATGCTACTACTGGTTCCTTTCTTGAACTTCAAGCAACTGGTGCACCACCTAACATAAACACATATCCTGCTGTTGATTTTCGATCTTCAGCATCATTACACCAACTCGAATCAATGTATCCCACTAACTTGCATTCTTTTCCTTTATCAGCTGTAGGAAACAAAAAGCCATAGTCGAGAGTTCCTTTGAGATACCTTAGTATCCTCTTCACCGCTGCTAGATGTGATACCTTTGGCTTCTGCATGAATCTACTTACCATATCTACACTATATGCTAAGTCAGGCCTTGTATGACAAAGGTATCTCAATGATCCAATAAATCTTCTGTATTGGGTTGGATCGACATCATCTTCATCTGCATCTTTCGACAGTTGCAGTCTTGGTTCTGCAGGTGTCGAAGTTGAGTTGTATTCTTCCATCTCAAATCTCTTGAGAATTTCTCCTACATATCTTATTTGATGCATCATCAGACCTTTACTGCTCTTGTAGAATTCGATGCCAAAGAAATATGAAATCTCACCCAGGTCAGACATTTCGAATTCCTTGCTGAGATCGCCTTTGAAGTCTTCGATCTCACTTTTGCAGCTACCTGTTATCAACAAATCATCGACGTAGAGACATAGTATAAGCAATTCACTATTGCTTCTTCTTACATATACTCCATGTTCAATTGTGCACTTCACAAATTCCTTCTCCCTAAGGAAACTATCAATTTTCTTATTCCAAGCTCTTGGAGCTTGTTTCAATCCATACAGAGCTTTATGCAGCCTGTACACCTTTTTCTCTTCGTCATGTTTCACAAATCCAACTGGTTGTTTAACATAAACTTCTTCGTCTAAGGGTCCATTCAGGAATGCACACTTCATGTCCATCTGACATATGTGCCATTTGTTTATTTCTGCTAGACCAACAACCAACTTGATTGTTTCGATCCTAGCAACATGTGCAAAATCTTCATCGAAGTCTATTCCTTCTTTTTGTAGAAATCCTTTCGCCACAAGCCTTGCTTTGTGTCGAGTTACTCCCCCTTTGGAATTCATTTTCAATTTGTATACCCACATGATATCAATTGCCTTCTTGCCTTGAGGCAATTCGACAAGTGACCAAGTGTTGTTGTCTTCGATAGACTTCACTTCTTCGTTCATCGCTTTCATCCACTTCGAATCCTTCAATGCTTCAGCTGCATTGACAGGTTCGACATCTGCATAGAAATTATAATGTACCAACTCACCTTCATTATCTATCACATCATCTGATGTAATCACACGATCTTGTAATCTTGTAGGCATGCATCTTATTCTTTGAGGTCTTATTGTACTTGGTTGATCTATAACTGTTAGTTCCCTCTTGTCGAACTTCTCTTTCGACTTGAGTTTCTAGTTATTCAAGTAGGATTCTCACTGGATCTTTCTTGACATTTTCAGTCAAATCCCATTCTTTAAGCTCATCTATGATCATGTCCCTGTTGATCACAATCTGCTTGTTCACTGGGTCGAACAACTTGTAACCTCCTGTCGAACGATATCCAACTAGAATTGTTTGACTCGACTTGTCATCCAATTTTATTCTTAACTGATATGGCACATGTCTATGTGCAATAGATCCAAATACCTTCAGATGACTCAAGCTAAGCTTCACACCAGACCAACATTCTTCTAGAGTAATTCCTTCTAGCTTCTTCGTAAGACATCTGTTCAAAATGTATGTTGCATTCTTCTGGATATAATTTTGCATGTTTTTTTTAATAAAAAAACACTTCATATATTTTGTATGTTTCCCCACTCTTTGTCTCCTCTACTATTCATATTCTATGTTCTTATCATCTTCACAACAATCATTCTCTTTTGTTTATACTTCAATTAGTAACCTATTTTTCATTTAATTAGTAAATTAGTGGTTATGTTTTCATAACAAGTGTTTCTGCATTTTTTTTTTGTTATTGATGTAAGATGTGTTTTTATTTTTTAGAAAATAAAGATGCCAAATATATGTTTAAAAAAAAAAAGAAAAAAAAAACAAGTATTAGTGTCATAGTTTTGATCGAAAAGTAGAAAAAAAAATTTAACATTCGTTCTCTGTGAATCTCCGATTCTCTGTGGGAACGAGAATGGAAAATTATTTCCCCCGCAGTGGAAATCAAGGATGGGGATAGAGAAAACATTGGAAGGCAGAGCGGGGATGCATCCTTTGAATATTTTGTGCCCCATTGACACCCCTATTTAAAGTTACAATGTTAAGTTTTTACCATTGAGCTAGCTAAGACCTCAAAAGCGTATTTACCAAAAATTAATTGCATTTACAAATAATGATATTTTTTTACAGTTAAAATCTGGGGGTGTTCAAACTAAACTGTGAACCAAACCGAAGTTAAAATAACTGAAATGTTATATTTGGTTAACAAACCGAATTATATTGTACTAACGGTTCTAGAACCAAATCATATATAAATTGAACCGAAACTAAAATCAAATTGAACCGAATTAAAAATGATTTTTATTCTAACGGTTCGGTACAGTTCAGAATTTCTAAACGATATACCAAACAAATAACTTTGATTCGGTTTAGTTCCGAGTAAATTAAAACGGTTTGATTCGGTTCGAATGAGCTTTATCTATGATTTGGTTCGGTTCGGTTTTTCCAGAAAACTATACGATGAACAACCCTAGTCAAAATAGTGATGCTTTCCTGGAAATAAATTTTACAACTTGTCACCAAGGATATGTGCAGCCAAACATATATGCTAACCTAACAAAACAAACACAAGCAAGCTTTCTTGGGAGCTCATAATTGACAAGCCATTTATAAAAATGTGAACTATAAAAATTGGGTATAGTATACTGAAACAAAATGCAGAAAAGATTGTACATTAGCCACAAACTAAACTCACAACCTTACACTACTAGATAGATACAAAGCATACAAAAAGTAAATGTGATTACTGATAGAACATACTGTGATTTCACAGAATAAAATCTGCAGCATTCTCACCAATAAATGCATTTCGGAGAAGTGAAACTCTTTGCTACTGATCAGTTCACCAGCATTGGAAAGAATGCTACCGCAATTCCAACCACAGTCCAAACATGTCCGAAGTGACGTCTAATTGAGAGCATTAGAAGCGGAGTATATGAAATCCAAGAAACCTGTTCCTTTTAAGAGTCCCTTACCTGTTAAAAGTTCAAAATCCAACAACAGAAGGAATCCAATAACAGCCGCTTTACCGTTTATTATTTCGTTCTTTCTACTGAAGCCAAATCCCAATTGAGTCTCATCAACCACCATTTTAACCTAAACAGTCATAGAAAAGGAATCAGATTTTTCAGAATGCAATTGCGATGAATCCAAAAATTATTGATGAGAATGTTAGTATTGTTATGTTACCTCATCGACATTTACATCAGATGCGGTTATACCGGGTTGCGCCTTCCCGCTAAAGACAATTTCAGTAGCAGCATCAGATTTGAAACCTCCTGTGATGCTGATATAAATATTTTTTTCATCTGTTTTGACAGGATATACAAAGAGACTCCTCAAAGCAGGTGTTAGAACTCTCAGAACAGGATTGTTTGGATACCACTCCTTGATCTCTCCTGTTCTTAGATCAAATGTGCTATCAGTTGTTGGACAAACTATACAACCATCCTGCATAAACAAAGCAATTGTAAAGATCAAAACATCAAAAACACTTCCTGTAGTATTGTTACATGAAAAAAAGAGAGAATATTATGTAGATATGATGAAATAGAGTAATCCAAACATGGCCTTAAGTAACTAACCTGAGTGAGCTTGGCATTTTTCAATCCTTCGGAATATGCACCTTCAGCAGGTGACCTATTTTCAATCGCAAATATTTGATCTTTATACCAAAGAAGCAATATGGTTTCCCCTTCTTGAATAATCACGCGCCGCTCTCCTCTAGGAAGAGCTGACACTGGCACTACCGGAACCCAGTTTCCGGATGGGGACGACTCTTCAGTGACGGACACTTGTGTGGCTTTACAGGTGGTTTTGAGTCGGAGAGACTTTGGGCGTGCATAGCGGTTTGAGTGACGGGTGGAAAGGAGAAGAAAGGGTTTACGAGGGAGGAGAAAATGGGGAGAAGTGTGTGTTTGGGAGGAGCAGGAAAGGGATAGAGGGTTGGTGGCAGCCATGGATGGAGGTTGTGAGAAGGAAAGTGTTGTTGGAGAAAGAAGGCATCTGCATGTGTGGAGTGATGGGTGGTGGGAGTAAGTCCACAGAATTGTATGCAACTGGATAATGAATCAAGTTGTTGTGTTTTTGTCTTGGCCACATTTCTAATTAGAGTTAATAGATAAATTCATGTTTCAAATTGTTAATGTAATATTCCACTATTTTTTAGTTTGTCATTTTTTCTTTCTATTTGCATCTTTATTATTTTAATAAATTCATTTTTATTTTTTATAATTTAAAATAAATAAATATATTTTAAATGCGTGATTTTAAAAAAAAAAAATCAAAATTTGTACCTAAAAAATAACGAATTTTGTTTCGGTCGGTGAGAGGTCAATAACAAAAAAGACTCAATCATCAATTCAAAGTCATAAGGTATTAGAGGTACAATGCACCTATAATCTTCATACCTGAATTTGATCCACATCATGGATCATCCTTCGTCGTTGGTTGTCGTCCAACAATTTCCCGCATACCATTTTAGAAAGTAAGGGGATTGATCTCTAACTGCTCCTCATATATAAGAGATTTCACGCAAGATTTGAGGTATGTTCTAACCATAACTTATTTTCACGCTACTTTTCAGTTAGGAACTGGCTTTGGCATTGTAATGTTAATCTTGTTGGTCGACTCCCTCTTCATCGCTATCATAATATACAATGGGATAATTCACATACAAGAACTTGAAGAAGTTACTAAAGGGGTGAAGGACATGATATATGGTAAACAAGGAAAACAAAGTCAGTGCTAGAACCACTCCAGAGTACATGTGGTGCAGCCCTGGATATGTTGGTCTCGAATCAGGTTTTTATTTAAAGGGAGGATAAGGAGCTGACCTTTGTCGGGCATAATCCTTAAAGACGTCAAATCAATGAGAATGTCTAGCTCGTATACGCTACGGATATGATGAAATAAAATCATAAAAGACTATTTGATGAAATAAAATCATAAAAGATCATACAATGAAATAAAATCATAAAAGACCATACAATGAAGTAGAATTGTGGATGGATGGATGAAACCATAAAGGGATATTGGGTTAAATAAAGTCATGCAAATTCATGCATCAAACAAAGATGAGATAAAATATATCAATAATGAATTAAAATCACAAGATATTTAAGAAACAATGTTACATTCGCTTAAACTGACTACATATTACAATTATTAATCAGCAAAAACAATAAAGATCATTCCTTCACACCATTTAGTTCAACCTTCTCGACCTCATTCCCCGCATCTAGCTTTTCCTAAGGAATCTCTATTCAAAGACAGAACAACTCAACCTGGCTTAAGGAATTCTAGAAGCCATCCTACATGGAATTGACGTTGTCATTCAGGGAGTCATCAAGATATTTCTTCATATCTTCCGGACGGTCTTCACAAGAATTATCCTCATGGGAACTGTAACACCCCAATTCTACCCCTCATAATTAATAATAAAATCAGAGTTTCAAAATTTCATCCAAGCATAAATTGAGGTATCACATATTCGTGTTTTTCATCACTTTGCATTATAATGCACATCACAAAATAAAAAGTCGAATATACCGATTCATAACATAAATCATCATATAAACATATGACTAATCACAACACAGCGGATGTGTTCACAAAATGTATGTATCATCATGTTATCATCAATACATAAAGTCATAGGATAGTATACATAAACTATCCTATCAAAATAATAACGTCGCCCAAATCCCGAGTGTTACTACCATCAGAGCAGAGTGACTCAAAATAAAGAGACTCGAGCTAATCCTCATCATCCTCGCGGATCACCTGCACGTTACCAATATAAAGGCAACGACGAAAAAGTAAAGGGCGAGATACTCCAAAACATACAATTAAAGGCATGATAAAATATATAAATAGTTTTGGAATCATAAATGATATAGGATTAATAAGAATATGTCAACAAATATCAAAATCTCACATACTTTAAAATCATCATTTAGTGTATAAAATCAACACTTTAATTTCATCACATAATCATGTCAAAACACGACATAAACTCCATCGCCATAAACTCATATCGTCGCTTTACCGTCATGTTATATCCATCGCATAATTTTCATGAAATTATCACATCATAATCACTTTATATTCAACACAAAAATCATCACAAAACAAGGTATCATATAACATCGCAATTCATTATAAGCCATCAAATAAAGCTCAACGCCAAAAGACTAAAAAATAAACATAACCGACTTCATGAGACACGACTATGTTATGCATGTGGTACCCGTCGCTTTGTCCATAATTAGGGACATTTGGCATAAAAGCCCATCGTCGCTTTGGCATAAAAGCCCTTGTCGCTTGGCATAAAAGCCCTCGTCGCTTGGCATAAAAACCCTCGTCGCCAATGCAATGTATGTGACTCGACAATACGACATCACAAACACGACACAACAAAACATCATCATCGCACATCAAAATTGGTATAAAACTCATGTTGTCATATTCATCCACATCAAGAATAAACATATCATTGCATCGCATATCATCAAGTATTCATTATAAATAAACCGTCGCAAACATCATGTTTAATCACACCACATAATTATCAAATAATTCACTAAATTTCAAACACGGGAAAATAGTCAAACATCAATAATCTTTGCAAAAGTCATTCACAATAATCAACATCAATTATAATCATTAACGTCGCAATCGAATTGTCTATACGCGACTTAAACCGACTAAAACGCAGCCCGGTTCAACTTAACCGTAAATTGACTTATTTCGGATCGCTCCGTTAAAAACTCATAATCTCGAAAAACTAACCTCACCACGATGTTCTACACGTCAAAATTAGCTAGCATGTCAATTTTCGTTAAATTCAGAGCAACTTGCTCCGTCGTCGAAATTGCCAAAATCGGGAAATCGAAACATAATCGGGTTCCAAATTAAATCGACTAACGTATGTCATATTTATATTTAATTAATATAAATATTAAATATATTAAATTAAGAAAATAAAAAAAACAAAAAAAAAACATAAATTAAATAATTAATTAATTTTTCTAAATTTATTTCCATTCTAATGCAAGATTTTATTTCTTCTAAACTATAAGTAAACTAAACTCTGCTGCTAGTTTTCTTTTTTTTCTTTCTAAGCTACTGTATATTAGTCTTTTTTTTCTTCTAAGCTACTGCATATTAGTTTTAACAAATAACTGCTAGTTTTCTTTTAGGATACTACTATGTCTTTTAGTATAACTAAACTTAATTAATAAACATATTATACTGCTATTCCATTTGTCATTTATGCTACTTTGTTAAACATACTTAGGGATGTCAGTTTGGACCTGTTAATGGGGATCCCCGCGGGGAACGCCCCGTTCGGGGCCCCAAAGATGGGGAATTTTTTCCCGTGGGGGCGGGGATGGGGAGAAAAATTCCCCCGAGAGCATTTCGGGGACGGGGACGGGGAATACACCCCCCCGCCCCGCCTATTATTTTAATATAGTTAATTTAATATATATATATTTTAGATTAGGTTTTTTAGTCATTTCCTTTATGTTTATTTATAAAAATAAATAAATAAATATTCATGTATTTATTAAGAGAGAGAAATAAATATTAGACCCTAGTCATTTCCTTTTAGTTGACTTATTATGAAGTATTTTTTAGCTTTTCAAGCATACTCATGATGCTAAATTTTATAATTATCCCTTATTAGTTTTGATGAAGTATAGTTTTTTAAGCATAATTATGTTGTTGGATTTTTTTAGTTGTTTAGGCATATTGTTACTTTAAAAAGTATTATAGTTCATTTTGTTGAATTTTATAGCATTTTATAAAAATTTATAAAAAAAATATTATTATTTTGTGTTCCATTAGTATTTTTAATAAAAAATAATAAATGTCAAATACTAGTATTTTTTAATAACATAATAAATATGTGAATTCTTTGTGCTTTTTATTTTTATAGAAAATATAAACATTTTAAAAAAATAAAATATTAATGAATAAATGTAGGATCTATGGGGATCCCCGCGGGGAACGGGGATCCGCGGGGAACGGGGATGGGGATAGAAATTCCCCCGTGACGGAGATCGAGGACGGGGACGGGAAATGAATTTGATGGCGGGGAAAAAGATGGGGAAGTGTCCCCCCGGCCCCGCCCCGCCCCATTGACATCCCTAAACATACTGCTAAACATACTGCCACTTACGTTTTTTATTTATTTTTTTATACAGCTATTGCTTAGTTTAGTTAATTTATAAGCTTGATTAAAAAGAACATGCTGATAGTTTTATTATAAACTTCAATATAATTAATATAATTTCTATTTTCTTTTTAATTCCAATTTAACTAATCTAATACTAATTCAACAACAACAACACCTAATTAACTCTTCTAATTTCTATCACAAATCCTCAATAAAACTCAAAAAAACCTAACATCAATTTTTTTCCCCAAATTCAAAATATATCAAATCAAACCCTAACTATAAGCATTGAAAAATCAAACCCCTTACCTTAAATGCTTGAAATGATTCTTGTTCTTCCAACCAACCCAAAATCCAAGCTTTGTGTTCTTCTTGTTCTTCTCTTCTCTAAGACTTTCTCTAGCTCTCAAAGTCTCTATGTGTGTTTTTGTTTTATGACATAAAACAAGTGTTTGGTTTGCTTAGAACAAGACATAAGTTAGCAATATACTCAAAAAGTCCTTGGTCTTACTACTAGTTATAACACTAATAATACTAAATAATATTATTAACCCAAATAATTAAAATAACTCCAAATAATTAAAATAACTCCAAATAATTAAAATAACTCCGAATAATATTTTACCGAACCGAACGGAATAAAAACCGGACCGAACAAAATAATTATCAGTCCCTCAAAATAAATACCGGACCGAATAAAATAATTACCGGTCCCTCAAAATAAATACCGGACCAAATAAAATAATTATCGGTCCGAATAAAACGTCGTTGAATATA